AGTCTAGGACCCAGTTGCAAATGGAGGGGCTTTTAGTTCTAGTGTGAGTAGTTTGTCCATCAGGGTCTGGGGGATCAGGGTGTTGAAGGCGGATGTGAAGTCCACAAAGAGCATACGGACATAGGAGTCCTTCTGCTCCAGGTGGGTAAGAGCAGTGTGGACCACGGAGGAGATGGAGTCCTCTGATCGATTCTTGTGGTATGCATACTGGTGAGGGTCCTCGCTGGTGTCGATGGTAGCTTTGATGCGGGCCATGACCAGTCTTTCAAAGTATTTAGCGACTATAGGGGTGAAGGCTACTAGTTGGTAGTCATTCAGACCAGTTGCTGCAGAGCTCTTAGGAACTGAGATGATGGTGTCAGTCTTCAAGCAGGTGGGAACAGTTGCCAGGGTGAAGGAGGAGTTAAAGATATCGGATAGCACCTCGCTGAGCTGATCAGCACAGTCACTCAGCACCCTCCCCGGGACGTGAATGTGACGAAGCACAGAACATAAAGGGACCAAAAGGTAGTGGTACAGAAATGAGAGAGATCCTTGACTTGTCTTTTTTGCTGAGCTGCTGCTCTTTTAGTTTCCTTGTTGATACTATGTTTGTTTGTTTGTTTGTTTTTGCAACATCCTCAAAATGTCTCCTGGCTGCACACGAGTGTCACTTTGACAGCAGCTCTCTTCTGTCTTTCACACAGGGTTGAACCAGCATCTGTTTGTCTTTGCTTTGGGTTTGTGAGCAGGATTTAAATTTTTCTCGCTGAACTAACATTGTTTTGTCATAAAACACATGTGCACAGCTGTTCTGCCCTCACTCCAGAAGGCATACCACTGAGTCAAACTTACTTTTTGAAGCCTTAAAGATTATAGCAACATCTAAAACCTCAACATTCTCTTATGACCCTTCAGTTGTGTATCTATTTTGAAAAAGTTTTTTTTTCTTTTGGCCCTGTACGAGGCAGGCATGTTGCTGCATTAAGTTTGTATAAATTATATGAAAAATAAACAAAAGCCCACACGGATGGCACGTTCAGTCAAAATGGGGAGCACATTATGTGCTTGGTGAGACATGGAGAATTAATTCACTTTGAGGTCAGATGCTTAATATGGGTCAGAGGTGATAATGTGATTAAAATGCAGTGTGCTGATTGATTGTGAACAGTGATGTAGCGGTGTGGATGGGGGCTTATTGTTTGTTTGTTTGTTTTTTGTTTGTAACTGTTTGAATCAAACAAAACATTCAAATTTGAACCTGATTTCTGGTTCCCACTTTTAAAATGCCTTAAATTGCACATTGAAATGTTGTTTTCATTCAACCGTTATTTATACAGGTTAGTCTCATTGAGCCTCGTGGACTCATTTACAAGAGAGACCTGTTTTAAACAAAGAACACAGATGAGGTTTGTTTTTACCAATTTCATCTCAGAGACAATGACACATGTTTGATCTTTCTTTTTGTTTTTACTAAATACGGTATTTCTTAAGGGCAACAAAATGTATGATTTTTTAGTCATTTTATTTCATTTAGAAAATGTAAGCACCCCAGCTTGGATAAGTAGTGCTGTCAGCATGCTTGAGTCATTTGCTGCTCTTTGCTACACTTTGAAGAAAACAAGATGCTCAGTGACAAGATGTAATTATTTCATTCACACTCTACTTTTGCTCAGAGAAGAAATTTAATCAGCTAAATTTCCACCTGTTTTCCACCTTTTACACGATGAAGACCCCCAGTTTCCCTCTTCAGAAGGATCAAAGTCAAAGTTTCTTTATTTGTTGTTCACACCATATGTGGTACATGTGGTGGAACCAAAATTGTGTATATACAGTGCCTTGCGAAAGTATTCGGCCCCCTTGAACTTTTCGACCTTTTGCCACATTTCAGGCTTCAAACACAAAGATATAAAATTTAAAAAATTTTGTGAAGAATCAACAACAAGTGGGACACAATCGAGAAGTAGAATTAAATTTATTGGATGTGTCAAACTTTTTTAACAAATAAAAAATTGAAAAGTGGGGCGTGCAATATTATTCGGCCCCTTTACTTTCAGTGCAGCAAACTCACTCCAGAAGTTCAGTGAGGATCTATGAATGATCCAATGTTGTCCCAAATGACTGATGATGATAAGTAGAATCCACCTGTGTGTAATCAAGTCAAAAAACAGAAATACCAACGAATGCAACAAAAGTACAAAGCAAAGCATCAAAAAGTGAAAAAGAAATACATCTACAAGGTCCAAAAGAAATATAGTAAATAGTGTAGTAAAATACAACGATGCAAGTAGGATGATTCAGTACAAACGCGTACCCCACAGGCAGTAAGACTGCACACGATACATATTACAACATACACCACACAGGTTGTGTGACAGGCCACTGCACAGGCAGTGAACAATATTGAGATGAACTGAACCACGATGGCAAGGCAGCGACACACATGATACAGCCACATCGTGCAGCAGTAACAAACATATTAGGTGTCACAGATGTGACTCAGTTCTGTGGAGCCAGTAGACAGAGAAGTTATCCAGAGCCACGGCACAGTCGGAGATGGACTGCTCCAGCCATGTTTCCATAAAGGCAAAGACACAACAGCTCCTCGTGTCCCGCTCGTAATAAATTTTTCATTTACCCTTTATTTATCCAGGTAGTCTCCATGCGCACAGATCATCCAGTCTATTCCTCAGAGACTGAATGCCCAAAAGCAGGACCAAGGGGAGAGTGGGGTTTGCTGCGTCTCTGGCGGGACCTGCACAAAACATTGACTCGCTGCTTCCCTCTCCGTGGCTTCCCTCTCCGTGTTTTCCTCTTATGGCACCCAAGTGATCCAAGGATCCAGGGAAAAATGCCCACTATGGAGTCCCCAAAAGTCAGCCCAAAATCCCCACTCACTGATGATCGCAACTCCAAAGTGCGTCACGGTCATACATGTAGTGTGCAGTGCAGTGTGGCGCAGGCGCAAAAAGCCAAAGCAAAACCAACAATGAACAAAAAATTTGTGACTCAAAACAGAGCTCTCATCAGTGCTGCCATGCTGCAGCACACATTGATGTAGGGACCTTAAATATTTCCTTTTGTTTTCTGTTCTAAATGAGTTAAACTTATTTAAACTATTTCCAAAAAACGTTCAATACACAAACAACTGGACTTTATTTGTAACAGAAGATGTTTCGCTAATCTTCCAAGGAGCTTTTTCAATTCAAAGAGCAGTGAGTGAGGGAGTCAGGTTATAAGGCTGAGTGAGATAAGAAGAGAAAGAGAATTGAGAAAATTGAAAATTGAGAAAGCTCCTCGGATGAGGAGCGAAACGTCTTCTGTTACAAATAAAGTCCAGTTGTTTTTGTATTGAACGCTTTTTGGATTTATCATGTTCTGGATGATTGAGAATCTCCATCAGCATATTTAAACTATTCTGTCTTATTTCCCTTTAAAGGTTTTAAAAGTTGTTGTCAAGCTTGTGGTCGTGCAGCCACTAATGGTCATGATTGAATAATAGCTTAACTTTTATCTTGGAAACTAGTTTCCAAAAAAACAAACCAAAAAACAATAAAAAAATTCTTCCTATTGAACTTGTAGATATTAAGTCAATGTAGCAGACATTAAGTTCACTTACATTTGTCTGACTTGGCTTTAACATTATTTTTATACTCTGCAACAAAATCCATTAGTACAGTAGTCCCTCGCTACTTGGCGGTTCGTTTATAGCGGACTTGCTCTATCACATTTTTTCAAAATAAGATTGGACGCTACACATAATGGCTGATTGATGGATGAGCTGCACGATCGGCATGGAATTTTTATTTAAAATAAATTATTTTAAATTATTTAGCACCTGCTGCATCTTTGTGCAGCCCATACTGCAGGATGAGCTTCCTGTTGCAGCTGATCAGCTGTTCTCCATGCAGAGCGAAAAAGTGGGCGTGGCCAAGAACACTTGCAGGTAGAGTTGCATGCGGACCCAAAAAGTCAGACCTGACCCAGCCCCAGCCCCAGCCCCAGCCCGTAGCCATCATTTCCGAACCCCACCTGACCCAATGAATTAACAGTAATTACAGGTCCAAGCCGCCCACCCACCCCCCAAAAAAAACATTTTTTTATTAAGCTTTGACTGCTTATATAGTTAACGGTTGGCGGATGCATGCAGCTAAGGGGGCAGAAGATCAGAGCTGAAGGGGTGTTTGTTCTTTCATGACCATCAAAATGCATTAAAATCCCTGCTTCTGCCTGCATTCTGCATTATTCAGACATGGACCCTGCTCTGCTCCTGCATACATTTCAAATGGATATTTTGTGATCTCACCTGTGTGGGTCGTCGGCTGCGTGCATCCTCTGAGTGCAGCGGCTGAATGAACGCCCATTTGGGGTGATGGATCGATGGCAGTAGTCCATCTGAAGCTTAACTGAACTTTTATTTACCTCTTTGAAGGCCGGTCAGCGCACGGTCACATGGCCACATGCAGCTGGTGACTGTATAGCAAGCCATGTTGCCATATAATTGGATCATCAGTCGCGCGCATCCGCTGACGCATTCAAAAGCCCGACACCGACCAGGTCTGCACCTTAGTATGGTCCGGCCTGGTTCGAATCCTGGTCAGGCCGGGCTCCAGGTTTGGCTTAGAAATTACAACTTTACTTGTAGGTGGCTGAATGCAGCTGAGACACAGCTGAAATCATGACATTCTGTGCTCTTTTAGAGCATTTAGTTCATAAACATTGTTTTATTTAAATCTTGCAAGAGTGTGGCAAGGGTTTAAAACACCTTTATATATATATATATATATATATATACTAAAGTAAACAACTACTTACTACTTGTACTACTATTCCTACTTCGTGGTTTTTCACTTATCGTGGGGTTTCAGGGTACGGATCCCCTGCGATAAACGAGGGACTACTGTAATTGCTGTTGATCATCAAACCAATCAGGAATGTTGTGAACTTGAAGAAATAAAGTTAGTATCCTCCTGTCCTTTTCATGTCATGCAGTAACAGACATTTTCTCTCTTTATTCCCAGATCATGAAGGAAGTTTGTCGAGCTTTGGGTAATGCAGCTGCAGATGATAGCAAGTTATTACTGCTCAGCTCTGTGGGGACTGTTTTCTGCAGTGGTCTGGAGCCGTCCTACCTTATAGGCCGTCTGTCCACTGACCGCAGAAAAGAAAGCAGCCGCATCGCGGATGTTGTACGGTAAGAAATAACATCCTTCTCATGTAGACTTCAACTATTTTATGACATGACATTATTCTAAGCACAGTTTGTCCTGTCATCCCTTTAGGGACTTTGTGTTGGCATTTATACACTTTAAGAAACCCATCGTGGTGGCAATAAATGGGCCTGCCCTGGGTTTGGGAGCTTCGATCCTCCCGCTGTGTGATGTCGTTTGGGCGAGTGAGAAGGCTTGGTTCCAAACGCCATGTGCAGCACTCCACCTCACCCCCTCTGGATGCTCCTCTTACACCTTCCCACAGATCCTGGGGGTAGCTCTGGTGGGCCAAAAAAAAATTATTTTTTTTCTAGTCTCCGAATCTCATTTGATTGTCCTTGTACTCGTCTGAATAACCCATGTTTACCCAAATCAAGGATTAGAGATTTGTGTCACACTGAAAAACACTTCCTTTTTACTGCAGGCCAATGAGATGCTCTTCTGTGGACGAAAACTAACAGCGCAAGAAGCATGCAGTCGAGGTCTGGTGTCACAGATCTTCTGGCCAACTACATTTAACCAAGAGGTGATGCTGCGTGTGAAGGAAATGGCATCCTGCAGTGCAGTGGTAGGTCATGACCTAATCAACACAGAGGGCAAAACAAATGAGTTGTAACTAAATGAGCTTTGTGTTTGTTTCAAAGGTTTTAGAAGAGTCCAAATGCTTGGTGAGGAGCATCCTCATACCAGTTCTAGAAGATGTGAATCAGAAGGAGTGTCAGATGCTGAAGCAGCTGTGGTGTTCAACCAAAGGACTGGAGGCACTCTTCAGTTATTTGCAGAATAAGACCCATGAAAAGTAACAATCCAGGCCCGGGAAGGTGAATGATCATCTGAGGCCTCCTGCAGAGGACCGTCCAATCAGTGCTGTGATTCAATCACTGAGGGCCTCTGTTTTAATGCCAGTTGGGAAGATTCTCTGAAATTCTATCTGATTACGGCTACAAAAACAAAACAGTTTATTTACCAACCTTTTATTTTTTGTTGTAACAAAAGCATTTTATTGAATCCTCACCATCCTAATGTCTATTTTCTGTAGTTAAAGAGCAAAGGGCCAAATGTGTGTTGCTTTAAAACCAGGAGGGACTGAGTGACTCGGCACTATATCAACATGAAATTTGTATAATGTCTGACTGCACAGGATAGAGTTAAAACATATATTAATATATGCATATATTTATTTTAAGGTTAGAAAATGTTATTTTTCTGTATCTGAAATGCATTGTTAGGATTTTCTTTGGGGCATTTGTGTCTTGAGTTAAAGTGGAAACCAAAGTGTTGCATTAGGAGTCTGTTTTCTGCTCTTTCCAAACTGAATACCTAACCACAAATAATGTTCAAACCAAATTAAGAAACAAATTACACATCTTCTTTTATTGTGCAGTTCTTCCTCTCTACAAGTCTTTATTACACAGGTTCTAAATTGACTTTATTGTATTCTTAATCACAAACATTTTTTCAAAACAAAAATTTAAATAAAATCATAAAGCCATGTGACGATTTTTCTGAAAGACAGGAAAAGTTTTTTTTAATCTGAAACTAAAGAGGTAAATATATACAGTTTGATTTTTTTTTTCGAATAATGAAAAATGGTTGTTTATAGACATGAAATATTCTTGAGCCAGTTTTTCTAATTGGAAATGAAACATTTTTTTAAATACAAACAATAACGCTCATGTAAAATCAGGCTTTAAATATCACAATAAAATAATTTATCTGCCTACATCACACACTTTTACACATATTTAGGTGAAACAAATACATTAGCAGCTTTACGTGCATTACTATCATGCTTCATTAGTGTTATTTTGCAGCTATAAGTGAAGGCAGTCCTTGTGTGAAATGTGTACTTGAAGAAATTAAATCACATTTATGATGTTTGACTCATTTTATTGTGAAGTTTAGAGGTTTGTAAATAAGATTTCAAAATATTAAAATCTCAAATGTCAGTAAGAAGAAATGTAGAAAATTAATATGTGTAACTAGTCAATCTTTTTCTGCATGTGATGATTGAAGATTTAAGGAAGCGGTATATTTTTCAATGTATATTATAGATTTGTTTTGTTTTACCAAACTGTACATGTATGTAGTTCTACTTTTTGTAACTAATTGCATGCAACAAAATGTAAAAATGTGTTGCTTGTCTGAATACCTGGTATTTTAGGGTCTGTTTCATACCAGGGTTGTAAGTATTGGCAAGAAATGTTGCGATTTATTTTTGTATTTAATTTATTTTAGCTAATAGTTCATTGTCACATGGCTTCCTTGTGCTTCAGAAGCGCTGCTTTATGTTTTAATAACCCCACCAAAAGATGTTTTCATGGATGTAATTAGTCCAGAAAGAAAAAGCAGATTATATTCTTATTTGAATGTTTACCATATTGTTTTATTATAATTTATCAAAAGCATGTTTCGTATTTATTATTTGTTGTGTTTAATAGGTTTAAATGATGAAATGAGATGTTTTTTTCAAACATGAAAATTTCTTATTGTGCCGTGCTACTTCATGATCAGAGGGATTTATTTCTGTTCATTGACTGTAGGGTTAATGGTTTTAGCATGTTTTTAGTCTAAATAACTAAAAAAAATATATTTTTTTTATTATAACTTGAAAATCACTTTACTTCAATTCACAAAATCTACATGATCATGCTGACAGACTAGTGAATTGATAAACTCTAAATAATTTAAAGATTTTATTTTATTTATATTTTGTCAGGTGAAAGGTCACTTTGGTTTGAATATTTTAACTGAGGTAGACATTTAATTATTTTGGTTTTTATTCCCCTTTTAGACTTTGACAACTTGACAACACAACTTCAAAACTGTATCGGTGGAAGGTGTATCAAAATTGACCAGTTACCATTTTAGCTGGCATTTATTTTAAAACACAGTTTCCCGGAAATGTTTCATTTATTGGGTTTGTGTGTGTTTTAGATTATTTTCCACCTTACATTGTCAAAAAGCACACCTTGATATGCCTTTAAAATATCTGTCAAGAACTACAGTAATCTGTGAGCTGCTAAAATAAAGAAGAATTTTACTACGTGGTACTACATTTTTCTATCCATATTTTCCCATAATTTGAACTTTGGTGTGAGAGTGTGAATGCTTGTTTGTCTCGTTTGTCTCTTATGTGGCCCTGAGATGGACTGGAGATCTGTTCAGGGTGTACTTGCACAGTTACAGCTAGATATGGGCCCCAGCAACACCCGTGACCCAAAAAGGAGACAGCAGGGTAAAGAAAATGGATGGATTAAATTTTCCGCTCTATAGAATCTGTCGGTACACACTAATCTGTCTTAGTGAATCTCCACATCCTTGAAAGTCTGATCATGTTTCTTTCTTTGCCATACTTTAAAAAAAACCCGGTACCAAAACTTATCTGGTGTTTTAGGTACTTTTAGTATTTTTGTTAAGTTCAGACTGTTCCAGCATGTCTCTTACTGGTTACTGTCTGTTTTGTTTTTTACCTACAATTTATTTGACACCAAGTTTCAGAGCCATCATTGAGCAGAGAGCCCTTGTCCCAGCCACTTCCTCGAATTCTTCAGCAGGGACAACGATGCTTTAAAAGGTCAGAGTGCTCCAGCGAGAACAAAATCAGCCCTGAAGCTTTATAGGGGATAGTGTTGCAAGACCAAATACCAAAACCTCAGCTGGTGCATTTCACTCCAGAAAAGCAGCGACTTTGTTCCACAGACTCGTGTCATCTGCAGAAGTATTCAGATGACTCTGCAGTAGTTGGGTGTATCAGAGATGGATGAGAAGCTGAGTACAGGGAACTGGTGGACCACTTTGTGGCATGGTGTAGAAACATCTCATCTTGAATGTGAACAAAACAAAGGAGATGATTGTAGAGTTCAGGAGAAACAGGAACAGGTCCAACACTATTTCCATCATGGGATAAGAAGTGGAGGTGGTGGAGAAGTATAAATACCTTGGGGTTCACCTGGACAACAGACTGTACTGGAAATGCAACAGTGAAGCGTCTAAGAATGGACAGAGCAGACTGTACTTCTTGAGGAAGCTGAAGTCCTTCAGTGTTTTCAGCAAGATGCTGCATATCTTCTATAAGTCTGTTGTAGAGAGTGCTTTCTCTTCTGCCATCATCTGCTGGGGGAGCAGCGCCAGAGCAAGTGACTTAAAAAAGATCAACAAGCTCATAAAGAAGGCTGGCTCCGTTCTGGGGACTCCTCTAGAACCTTTGGAGATGACTGAGATGACTATACAAAGAAGGACTCTTCATAAAATGAAGAACATTATAGACAACCCTCAGCATCCTCTTCATCAGACTCATACAACAACAGTGTCTTCAGTCAGAGGCTTCTTAAGATCTGTTGTAAGACAGACCACTACAAGAGATCCTTCCTGTCCACAGCCATCAGCATCTAGAACAACTCTTTATTAATCCCAGAGGGAAATTAAATGTTGTAACTCATCATCCTGGTTTCATTAAAGTATTTTTGAACTGAATTGAATTTGTTAGGGTTAGCCATAAACTGTGGAGTGTGCTCGAACACCTTTCAGCAAAAACTTATTTAGGCCACTTGTTAACGGTCTCATTTGTTTGGTTCCTTGCACGTTCTTGAGAAATGCATTAGCTGGAAATTCTATACAGCTTTGCTTTTTAACAACTCTGCATCACAACAGAGCAGTACGATGTCGGCACCATCACATCTGGCCTGTTGGTCGCCTGCTCCTTTTACCCTCCGCTCATGAGCAGACGCCAGGATACATACAGCTTCTCCACTTAAGGAGGCAACTCAACAGACTAAAAACTAAGGCCACAGTTTTAGAGCTCAGTTGCTTCTTTATCATGTTGGACAAGTTTGAGTGCCCTCAGGGATCCAGAGATTCTTTTAGGTTGTTCATCAAGGAATACTGGTTGAGGGTCAAAGTACAATTCTGCAACCATGGATTCAGACTCCTGGAGCTCTTGGCATGAGGAAACAGCTTGTTGGTAAGTGGCCCTTTACCAGCAATCCCCTCCACACCTATGGAAGTGGAATACTGTTTTATCGCATGAAGTTACCAGTGGTTCAATCCCTGCTGAAACTGTCAGTACTTCGCTAATTTGGATTTTGAGGTCAAAAGTTCCGCTTAACTTATGCTTTGTTGATACCAGTTTATTCTTCTTTGTCCATCCATCCATTATCTTTTACCCACTTCTTCCATTTTGGGTCATGGGGGTCGCCGGTGCCCATGTTCAGCAATCACTATGCGAGGGGCGGGGGACACCCTGGACAGGTCTCCAGTCCATCACAGGGACACATAGAGACAAACAACCATTCACTCTCTCACTCACACCTAGGGACAATTTAGAATTACCAATCAGCCTAACATGCATGTTTTTGGTCTGTGGGAGGAAATCGGAGTACCCGGAGAAAACCCACGCATGCACGGAGAGAACATGCAAACTCCACCCAGAAAGGCCCCCGGACTGGGATTTGAACCCGGAACCTGCTCGCTGAGAGGTAACAGCTCTACCAGTTGTGCCACCGTGCTGCCCTTCATTTTTGTCTTTTTCGTAAAAACTCTGAAAATCCATTAACAACAAGTTCTGCTGTTTAAGTAGGCTACTTCAAAGAAAAGATGTAAGCTGTCCTACCTTAGAGGTAATTTTTTCTGACTTCATGTAGTCTTGAGATTTAACCATCTTTAGGCTTATGGTTATGATAAATGTTACCAGTCAACAACAGTCCTCGTCCACACCCCACTTAAACTACTCAAATCTAATAACAGACCAGGGGTCTGCAACCTGGGGCTCTGGAGTCACATGTGGGTCTTTGGTCCCTTTTCAAGTTCAAGTTAAATTTACTGTCATTTTCATCACATGGGGTACATGAGGTGGAATGAAATTATGTACACAGGGTTCCAGTTACACCCAAAGATAGCAAAATAAAAAGTATAAAAAGAAACAGTAAATAAGGATCTAAGATATAAGCTAACCAATGACAAACGCTACGCTACAAGATCTGAGATATACGCTAAACACTAGTAATGTAAAACAATACGGCATAACAACAGCAGCCCGAACACGAGTCTGTGTGAGCAAATGGGTATGAATGAATACAGCAGCATGAGATAATCAGCAGCACAGATGTCACACCAATTAAAGTTGCATTACAGTGATTTTTCTTACAGGAATTAACCTGGTTAGGGATTTATGAGTCTAACAGCTTCAGGGTAGAAGCTGTTCCTCAGTCTAGTTTATAGGCAGCACGACGACTCTGTGGTTAGCACTGTAGCAAGAAGGTCCTGGGTTTAATCCCTGGTTGGACCTTGGGTATTTCCGTGTTGAGTTTGCATTTTTCATTCAACCTTTATTTAGACAGGTATGACTGTATGTTCTTCTCATGCTTGTGTGGGTTTTCTCTAGGTACTCAAGTTTCCTCCCACAGACCAAAAACATGCATGTTAGGCCGATTCAGGCCCAGGCCTCCCTTGCAAAAGAGATCTGTGATCTCAGTGGGATTTGCCTGGTTAAATAAAGGTTAATAATAGTGGTTCTACACTTAATGCTCTGCAACTTCCTTCCTGAGGGAAGCGGGGCAAAATGTATGTGTGCTGGGTGAGTGGGGTCCTTCATGATGCAGGTGGCTCTCTTCCTGCATCTGGAGGTGTAGATGTCTGTGATGGTGGGGAGGCTGACTCCAACATTCAGCTGCTCTTTCAAGCTTTGACCAAAGCTGACATAAAACTAAATGTAATTGGTTATACAAACAACAAAAAATGATAAGTTTAAACAGTTTTCCTGTTTCGTTTTCAAATATGTGAACACTGGAGTACAAGGAGTAAAACATACTCACTTTAACTTGACGCTTTATTTCTTTATATAAAGAACTGTCACAAAGTTTGTCTATAGATTTTTTTAATTTAAAAAAAAAAAGGTTTAAAAAAATTCCCCCCTTTTCCAAGAATCTGGTCTTTTTCTTTAATAAATTTTAAAAATCATTAGATATTTTTTGCTTTATGTCACCCTTATTGACCACAAAAGCTTCATCCAGCAAACCTAAAGTGGCTCATGGGCCACCAGTTGATAACCACCGTTGTAGCAAGATGCTATGGCTCTGGACACGTTACAGTGAACAAAGGTGTAAAAATGGCCCATTTTATCATAAAGGTTGTGGACCTCTGTATTAGACACTGCTGTTACTCGTCAACACCATTATATGCAAGTCTAGTGATGTGCAAAATCCCCATTTTCACACTTACTTCTGATGTCACTTTAGTCAAATCACACATCCTTCATGCAACCACTGAAGAGAATATTACAAAGCTTAACCTCATGTGAAACAGCCGACCTGTCAAACTAAATATTCCTGATGTGGATAACAATCCCTCTGACACCTTTTCAGTTGTGTAGAAATTTAGTCTGTCTTGTCCAATCCTATTCCTCAGGCCACACTCTCATGCATACTTTAGATGTGGGGTGGTTCCACTATACTTGATTTAAAGCACTTCATTATCTCAGCAGCTTGTTATTGGGGGTTTGCAGAGGGCTCCTAATGACTGATCAGCTGAAGAAGAGAAGGGTCATACGCAGTCTCAAATGTTAAAATGCCAGGTTTCATAAAGGCAATTCTTACTTAAATACTAAAAAACTCGCTTTCTTAAATTTGGTTTAATAGTAAAGGAGTAACTAAAATAAAAGCAATAAAGTAATAAATGCAAAAAGCATGCTTTGACCCCAAAAGAATAACTACAAAAAACAATAACTGTGTCTGAAAATGAGAATTTAATTTGATTTCAAATCAGTACGAGTCTTGAATCAATGTGATTCCACATTCAAAGCAAACGTTCAATAATCTACCATGTTCACAGCAGTTTTTATTATTATTAAAAATTAATCTGTTCTCAGGACAGGTTTATGACTTCTAAAATACTGCTGAGGGATTCTGCCAGAAGGCACTGTGATCTGATGAAAGGATTATGCCCACATCTTAATTAATCTCTTTGGGGTAGTGGCTGAAAACTGCTAATAAAGCCTTTTTTTTACATACAGTTAGGTGTTTTATGTTGACCTAAATGTTATGGTAATGCTGCTCTTTTCTTTAACGGTGTCGATGAAAAATAAAATGAAATGTGCCTAAGAAACAATAATAACCTTATTATTACTGCTGGTGTTTGCGTGATTAAAAAAAAAAAACATCATCTACTGAAATCAGTGCTGCCAAGTCAAAGAGTCAACATGTAAATATGCAGCAGAAAACAAATATTTTAATATCATTGAAAGAAGAAACTAATTAAATCCACACTAAAACGTTATAGTTTATTTTGCAGCAATTCTTCAGTGGGTCTTAAGAAACTGGCCTGGTGGTTTTTGTGTTGTTTGCAGACTGAAAATCATCAAATGGGAACAAAATAACCTCTACCTTCTTATGGAGGAGGTACCGGTACTTTTAAAACTCTAATTGAACCACACAACTACTTTACAACGAGGCATAGTTCCAAAACCTCCCCAGGAGTGACAGAAAAGTCTCATGGGAAAGTTATGAACCAGTATCTGAATAGATTCAACTTGCAGAGCCAGTAAGTTACAATATTTTCTTCAGAATTCATTCTTGAGTCCTTCTTTCAACTTCTGTTTCATCGCCAGAGCATGCTGCTTGCTGCGCTCCCGCTTTTCCAATCTCTGTTGAATGGCAAGGACAGACAAACAAAAACAGATAACTACAATGAAATAAAAGTATGCGCTTATATTTAGTTCACAAAGGGCAAAGAAAAGTAGCTGACGAACCTCTTTCTTGAGGCAGTTACGCATGGCGCGGTCCATGTCATTACATTTGCCAAAAAACTTCAGGAAACTGTTCTAAAGGAAACATGAAAGAGAGTTACATTTTGTTCTGTCAGGCATGTCAAACATATGGTAATTAACAAATATAGAAACAGACATACCTCCTTGTGGCACTGCTTCAGAAGGCTTATTAGTTCATTGCACTCATCTGTGTGCAGGTGAGGGGATAGATCGGAATGCATTATGAGTTGAGGCTTACTGAACCTAAGCAGTTGCACTGAAAAGCCACAAAGAAGAGGAGGAACACTAAGAGTATGTACACACAGAAAATTCAACACCTTCACATGATGTAAAAGTCCATAACATCTAACGACATCAATTGGGATAAATCCACATTTTCCTCATGTTCTCTTTTGTTTCACTATAAACTAAACCTGGGGGTGGGCATTAAAGCTAGCAAGTCTGTTGGACTAGCCAAATATACTATTAGCATTCATGAATATCCGACACTTGAAAAATAAAAGCCCATGATTTATTGCAGTTTAAACTTTACTTTTCAATATTGATATTTTGCTCACATGTATATTGTTTGCAATAAATTTGTGAAACATTGTGCAGTCCTACTTTTTATATTTAATTTACAGTAAGCAAACATTGATCCAGGTCTTCTAAAACAGTGATTCCCAAACATGGGGTTGGGACAGCCTAAGAGTTTTAAAATAAAGCTACAAAACTTCTTTTCTCGTTAGTCCGAGATGTTTTGCTCCTCATCTGCGGAGCTTCACAGTTCAAAGAAAAGTGTTGTTTGTATCCTTTAAACTCCGTAGCGTCACTGCACTTTTGCAAGCTGAGATCAGATGTTAACTATTCTCCTCCACTCCCTTCTGAGGGTCATTCTGATATTTGCTGTTTGTCCCTTTGTAAGTCATGTAATGACAAATGAGGGTTCTTTGATCATCTCCAGAAAATAAATTAATTTTAAAAATTGCTAATGGACATATTTCCCATTATTAGATACAAAAATAAAAACTGTAAAGTGACAAATTGATCGTATTGTTTGTGTAATCATGTTATTTATTAGGGTAAATAATGCTTGCACATAATCAGCAATGATCAGTCACACTGATATTTAGAGGGTTTATATAAATTTGGGAACCACTCAAAGGATACTAACTCCTCCCCAGCCCTCTCATTTCTGTTCTGTCATTCTGATGATTAATTTTCCAGTAGTCACTTACCTGTTGACAGAGAGGAGTAAACAACAAAAATATTATTTGTGGCATTTTGCCAACCTTAAACTGTGTAACGCCTCAGAACTCAAAACCATGATGAGTTATAGACTCTACCGATAGATTTCTTTTTGCCTATTACTAACGCTTTACAGAACGGACTGAAATGTTACTTACCAGTGAGAAAACTTTGTCATCTGAGAAGTTTTCCTGCACACCGGTGATGTCACCTTAGCTAACTGCTAGGCCTCGGCTAACGTAGCATGTAAACACCTGAATCCCAAATGAATCCCAACCACAAGAAAAGCTAGTTTTTTTTCTGTGCGATAACTTTTTTTGTCTGTTTGTTTTCTTCACTTGCCTCTTCAATTATGACAGTCTTCTGATTTAATATCTAGTCTCATTCAACATCCACTGAAGGCTTAGAGGACGAGACGAGCTTCCGTAACAGATTCGCTAAACTGACGTCACATGTTGAGTGACAGTACATGTTAGCGAATCAGCGTCAGCATTTACTTCACAGAACCAATCATTTGCTGGCTTTCTAAAAAAAAAAGAAAAAAGGGCGGGACATAGGCTAGCGGAAGTTTAAAGGAAACACAAGATAATTACCATAGATATAAACACTAGATACAGCATTGACCGCTATCGCCTATTGGCACTGACGAGCTGTATGGCCGCCATCTTGGAACGGTCGACCGCTCCACTCTGACTGATTGAACTCTGCGCGTTTAATCAGTCATAGCTGAATACTAAACTCATTCTCACGATTTCCCCCTCTGTAAATCTTAGACGTACAGCCATTAAAGCTGAACACATGGTTCATTGTATCCATTGATACATGATCCTGATACATGCTCAGTGTTTTTAAATATTCTTGGTGGGGTTAACATTAACACTAATAAAATATACTTATGACAATATACTGATGCATGCTCAATAATCCAGGTAGAAAAATCCAAAAAAGTTCAATCTGGTCCTCTGGACATTCAAAAAAACAAACAAAAAACAAAACAAAGCAAAAAAATATAGAAGCGTTTCGTCTCTCATCCAAGAGACTTCCTCAGTCTGAGTTGCTGTTTTCAGCCCAGTCTCTTACTCTGTTTGTGCCGGGGGACTGGATCTTTGGGATGAACCAGTCTTTGCCGTAATGTATTTTGGGGTTTAAAAGCCACTGGGACGTTATGTTTAGAAAATAAACGTCTCAGTTTCTCTGATGGGCCTGTGATTGGAAAGTCGCAGGTTCAACTCCCGGTACCGTCAACATCAAAATGTGCGTGGAAAAGGTGAAACACCCACACCTGCCTCCACCCTCAATGGCTCCACCCTGGTCCCCTGAGCAAGGCCCTTAACCCCCACCATCTGCTCCTAAACAGGTCTCTCTAGAAAATGAGTTCTCGTGACTCAATGAGACTACCTGTATAAAAAAAAGGCTAAATGAAAAAATAAAGTTTAAAATAGAAATACTCACATCATTAGGCCAAGGTTGTGTGTAAGACGTGCACATTCCTGAGAGTGTGTGTGTGTGACGTGCACGTTCCTGAGAGGCCACAGACAGAGCAGCTCCAGCTTTTGTTGAGTTCCTGTAGTCCTGCAGTTTTCAAGGTGAAATGAAAAAACATAATGAATATGAACTTTACAGTCTATAGTTATCTGTACATATAAACACATGGAGGTGTCTCACCTTGTGACTGACAATAAAATATGTAAATTTATGAACATTAATGAACTTATAATGATGCACCTACTCTTTGAAGGTGAACTGATAATATGTTCACATAACAATAATATGTTCATCTTATTTGTGAAAAGTTATCCCCCGAGACCTGATGTCAACAGTCCGTCGATTAGAACAGAAATAAGCTGCGAAGTGCTGAGATATCTTCTGCTTTGACCAAATAAGGACGACCGCTCCAAGATGGCGGCCGAAATTCCTGCGCCGCAGCAGCCAATGAGGGATCTAGTGTTTATATCTATAATTACCATCTTTACACGTCCGTCTTTGCCTCAGTTAGGCATGCATCACAAATATGTAAATAGATTAATAATTTCTCTAGGTTAACTTTAAAAATGTCAAAACAGAACTGACAAAGAAAAACAGCACCTTTAACTAACACACTAGGCACATTTGTAACACTACTGGTTGAATTTGCGTTCATATTAGTAAATTAATCAAATTAAACTAAGAAGGTTTTTTTTTTGGTTTTGCTGAGAAAACACTGCTGCCTAAATAATTTCGTTGAAGTGGCAGACAGAAACTTTCTAATCAGCAGATGAGAATACGTTTACTCTATTTTTAATGCTTGCATAACACCAACAACGTTGTGTCTCTGGACGTTTTGAATACAGTAACTGGTTCCCAGTTGTACATTTTATACACATTTAATTTTTATTGTGTGTGCTTTTGTGTTTCCTCCTATCGTGAAAATAATATTTTTAATAAGTTAGTTTTGATTCTTTTGCGAGCATATTTTTACGAACATCTTTATTTTATCCGTCCAGGTTTGTTACATTTATTTTGTACATTAAAATAAACGTCATCAGGGAATGCTGTGTTGTAGTACCACTCCAAGCCAGCAGAGGGCGCAACAGGAAGACGGGGGATATTTTTGTCAACATGTGATTGGTTGATTCATTTCTTCGCGTTGCAGGCGGTTTGTTTAACTGGTGTCTTTTTTTAATTTAGTTCAGGGAACCTGTTGTATTATATTTACATATTTCATATTTACATATTTCCTTATACAACATCATATAGATTTTAAAACTCGAAACAAAACATGGACGAGTCCGCAACACGTTTATTGCAGCGAATCGTTCGACGGATTCCGACTCGGATGCTAAAAGCAACGTTGGAAAAGTGGGACCGACTGACGGCGCAGCAGCGACTGTCCGTGGATTTTACTGAACCAAAATGGGAGCTGGTGCAAAAACTAGTCTCTATATGTGAGGTGAGTTTTATACATACGCTATCTTATAAGTTTATATTTTAAACGGTGTGTGCTAAAATGTCAAACATCTGCTCATAGTTCGAGATAAATCAGTAAAACTACGTTGTTGTTGTGGACGTTTCAGTGAAATGTGTGTATTTTTCTTTTCCTCTCTCAGGAAAATAGATTTACAATGAAACACATCACAGAACTCGAAATGATATGTAAGTATAAATGTTGGAGTGGTCATTGTTTATGATGGCATTAACAGATGAAAGTACTTCCGGTCAATGGCACAGATCTTTACTGTCTTTTACTAACAATATAAAGCTCCAAAGTTTGTATAACTTGCAATTATTTATAATTAAAGAGAAAAGAGTAGTACTGTAAATGCATATCCAAGTGTCTCGTTTTGCTTTGTTCATCTTAGATGTCATTGAGAACCCAGACCAGGGAATGTGGAACACTTTCCAGCTTTTAGACCCTGAAGGTATGTTAAAAAAAAAAAAAAAATCAAGAGTATTTTGTATTCGAGCACATCGTTAGGCTGCATTGGTTTTATATTTTATTAAATCCTAATTTGTAGAACAGCCCTTTGTGTTTATTTATGTCACAGTGTGTTGCGCTGTAATCTATGTACTGTGTCAGTTTAATATTTTCCACTCCTAGAGGATGCTCATTCAGTGGAGCTGATGCGATTCAGGGAGCAATTTAAATCCCACCTCCGTGAGCTGATGATGAACGTAAGTCTGACGATCCTTTATGTTTAGGTCGCCGCTTCTTTAAAGGACGTTGAGAGCAAATTTGCGTTTGACGCGACGCATTTAATGACAGTTGTGCATTTTATGGTGCATCTAAGGTGTCGGTGAAAATCAAGAGGCACACAGATGAAGCTGTGTGGATTCGGATCGCGTGCGGCGGGGACAGCTTTTCTCGGCCCAACCACCTGAAACCGACGTATGTTGTTCATCATCTTCAGTCGCCTTATGTGTTCGTGAGCAGTCTGACCTCAAAGCTGAAGCCGCTGCTGTTACAGGTGAGGAAAACTTAGTGAATTCTGTAATATTTTGTAAATATGGAAGGTATCTGTTTTGTGTGTTGTCTTTCTAAAAGAGTTGTGTTTTTGTTGCAGGCATTGACTCTTTCCACTAGACATCAAGCGATTAAGGATGCTAACCTGAGTGGGCGGAAGCTGACTGCCATCAGGGACCTGCTGATGAGGGAATATCAACACGTAAGTCTCTACTAGTTGCAAACTGATTTTTATTGCTCACGCTTTATCACTTTTTCTTTACAAAATCCGTTTCACTTTCACATGTATGCCTTTGATAAACATTACAAGGATCAACTGCTTTAAATGTTCAGACTGAAAGTTTTGAGTTACTTGGATTTTGCTTCGTTTGTTTTTCATTTAGGTGTTTCCCACAAAGTATCCTAGTCCTCTGGTGGAGAACGGTCAAACCCTTTCAAGTATGTTCTGTTAATTACTTGATGTTTTTTAAGTGCGTTATGTCAGTTCTGGTTTATGACTGTTTCCTCTTTTTTTTTTTTACTGCAGACCGGCACATAGACAAAGAACAAGCTGATGCTTCAACAAACAGACGTCAGATGGCAGGTGAAGCCTTCGGCGACGGGCCGTTACCTGAGCTACAGTCTGCAGTCTATAAGGTAGCTGTCAAAGTTGCTCTCTTACTGTTACGATGCAGAATGTGACCCGTCCAGTTCATCTGGATTATGTTTCATTTTATTCCTTCTTCAGCTGGAAACCAAGTTTAAAGACCCCACCAATAAGACTATGACGGAACGGGAGGAACCGTTCAGATGTTCCGTTAAATTTTCCAGCACCAACCTCTTGGAGTCGCTGAAACACTGCGCTTCTTCAGGTACTAAGAATTTATTAGTTACACTCATTAGCAGACACGGTACCTTGAAGCCCAACGACCACCATTATAGTCCCAATGGGTAATCGTAGTAGAATATGATGGTTGTATGTTTTTTCACATTCGGGCCAGGCGAGTGTAAGGAAAAGATAAAATAACCTCCCAGTTAAACACCCGAGCACATGGCCGATGATTGCCGAAGGCTGGTGACGTCAAGACAGTAACGAGCCACAGGCAGGAGAGTGTTTTCATGTTGGAGGAGGATGTGAGTGCGGATGATTTAAGTGGAGAGAGTTGCAGCGATTTAGAGGATATCTTTGATGATTCATCTGCACGCGATGAAGAACGAAGTAGAACTGTTAGGAGTAAGTACGTAAGTAATCAAAGCCTAAAATGTTCATGCTCAATAATCCAGGTATACAAGTAAGTAAGTAAGCAAAGTTTATTTATAGAGCGCTTTTCACAGACATAAAATCACAATGCACTCAATAAAAAAAAAATCAACGTTAAATTATACAAAGAATTAAACAAGCTTAAGAAGCCCAATAAAATCATGACGTAAAAGCCTGGGAGAATTAAAGTGTTTTCAGTTGCTTTTTAAAAAAAACTCCACAGAGTCAGCAGAACAAAGCTGCAGGGGCAAACCGTTCCACAGCCTGGGGGCCACTGACTGAAAGGGCCTGTCCCCCACGTCCAAGAGGTTCTGTGTCTGGGAGCGAAGGCCACGAGCAGCAGAGCATTTAGTTAAAAGCTGACAAAGACACACAGGAGCCTGGCCATTTAAAGCTCTGTACGTCAATACAAGAACTTTGAAAAGGATTCTAGACTTCACTGGGAGCCAGTGCAGTGAATATAGAACCAGAGTGATGTGACAGTATTTGCTGGGTTTGATGAGAAGTCTGGCAGCTGCGTTCTGTATCACTTGTAGACGTGAAACAGAAGACGTGTCCAGGCAGGTAAAAAGGTCATTTCAGTAGTCCAGATGCGATGACACAATAATTTTCTCTAGGTCAGTTCTGGAGACCATAGGTCGTATTTTACAAATGTTTCTTAAATGAAAGAAAGAAGAACAGGAAATGGCCCTAATGTGAGACTCAAAGCCTAATGATGAGTCAAATGTGACTCCTAGATTTTTTACTTTTGATGTGGCTACTGGGCAAAAAGAGGCGATGACTGATTTTTGGATGTTGTTGACTGGGAGCTGTAATCAAAGTCTCCGTCTTACTAATGTTTAAAACCCAAAGGTTACTGGTGAGCCAGTCACTACTACAGGACAAACATTGAACAAGGATGGCCAACAACCAGCTGGTGTGGTCTAAACGAAAAATACAACTGAATGTCATCAGCATAAATGTGATGGGGAATATCAGAACAGGACTGAATAATGCCAGCAAATGGGATAATATAAAAGGAAAACAAAAGTGGACCCAGAACTGAGCCTTGCGGCTCCTCACAAGAGTGAAGTTATTGCTCAGCAAGGAGGGCCTTCTCTGTACATGTACAAGCCAACACGAAGGCAAGAAGACGCAGCTCCGCCAGAAGATTCATCAGTCCTGGACAGACCAACCCGGCCTGAAAACACAATTTTTACAATAAATTAATAATTTTGTGTAAAATAATTTGATTGTAAGGACCATTTGCTACTAAACCCTCTGGAATCGATGGACGAACCGGCATCTTTCAAATCATGAGTGATTTCAGTTAATTTAGTAATAAACACGCAGCCGCTCTGAGACGGACTTTGTCAAAAGTAAAGACTTAAACTATTAATCAGTTTTTAAATTGTGCTGATAGGGCGAGTACAGCCAAAGTTATGATAAGCAATTCATGCTACATCTTTTATCTGAAAGTCAGTGTCATCTTTGAAGCGGGTGGCTGCAGCAAAAAAAAGTACTTCCATCCGTTCTCGGCTATAACTCCCCACTTCTATCGAATAAACAAACATCCCCCTCACCTTCTTTCTGAGCGAGGCCCCAAGTTATTTGTCAAGTATCTAAAAAACTGCAGTGCATCGATTCGGCATTTTGTTCCTGTGATGAGTAGTCTGTCCAGAACTGAGGAAGAGACGAATGGTGTCTCGTCTGGTCCAGATCCTTTCAGCCCATGTATGGAGGTGAAGGGTTGTTTCCAAAGCGCCAGATTGAAAACTCAAAAACTCCTTTTTAAAAACAAGTTTAGTTAGTTTTCAATATTTGCCACAGAACATATTATGTCTCATATTTTGCTGGACATGGAATATGAACAAATGGTGGGTGTTGGACTTTAAGGAGGAAATTATTTTTTTATTCTCTTTGTTCCATAATTGTCCACAAGAGGGCGCACTCGCACCATCCATCTTTTATCCTTAGTGAATTATTCATTTATTCTGTAGCTGTTTTATGCCCAGAAGTGCATTTTAATAAATGTTATTTAATCAGTGTACATTTCATGAAAAATATCTGCATTTTTTTTTTTTTTTTTTGTTTTGTTTTAAATGGCAGTCAGCTACACTTTCACAAATAAAGAACATATATTTTTGCACGAAAGTGAGACGTTCAGTTGGGTTGTGTTTTTATTGGCTCATCAGTTCCCCTGCTCGCTCTGATTGTACTCTAACACTTAGTTTAACTGGTTTATGCGTTTCTTCTGTGTTTTAGGAATTGCCTCCACCCCTGTTACCCCCCTGCTGTCATCTATTCCTTTAAAAGGAAGGAATTATTTTGTGATCACGGACAACGCTCCTGGTCCGTCCTCACAAACTCGACAAGCGCAGAAATGATTGACGTCTGGCCTCTGACTCCACTGATTCGTTTCAAATCAACTATAGTTTATTTTACCAATTATCCTGTTACTGATGAGAAAAGTTATACTAATCTTTTTGAAGGTTTTATTCAGTCATATTAATATTATTTATATAAATAGGTTTGCTTTAGTGTTAATTTGTTTAGTAGCCAAATGCTCTTTGGGCACATAAACAAGCCCAAAGTTTGCATGAACGTGCATTTAACGTAAATTTACTTTTGTTTTCTGCAGGTTCTTGATTACTTTAAATAAAGATTAAAGTCGTTTACAGTTTAAATAAAATCATTTTAAATTTGGATTTGCAAGAATTTTATTCCTGATGGGTTGTAAAGTGTGTAATGTTTCTGGGGTAATCTGGGTTTGTACGTTTTTATTAATGTCATCTTTTCGGGCTGCTGCTGTTAACACTGTACTTTGCATTATTAGTGTTTAGAGTATATCTTAGATCCTTATATACTGTTTCTTTTTACACTTTCTATCTTTGCTATTGGGTGTAACTGGGACCCTGAGTACACAGTTTCGTTCCAGCTCATGTACCATATGATGAAATGACAATAAATCTACTTGAACTTGAACTTTCTGCCACATTTTTTATGAAAATATACAATAATATGTGATAAATTTATTCACAAAGCACTGTAAAAACCAACACTGGTGTAACATAATAAATTCAACTGAAACAGTAAAAATAATGAATGGTTAAAATCATAAAAACAACACGCAATATAATTAAAATATTAAAACCCAACATCTCAAGCTGCGTGAAAAGATTTAAACCGACCTGAGAGAGTGAGGAACAGCTGGAGCAAGTGGGACAGATGCTGTAGGGCGAGACCATGAAGACGTTTAAAAACAAACGAGACCCTTAAAATTAATTCGTGATCCAACTGGGAGCCACTAGTGATTCTAAAATGAGGGACGCGCTCTCGTTTTCTGGTACCAGTTAAAAAGCGAGCGGCAGCTTTCTGAACCAGCTGAGTACCGTTATCCATTTCATCTGTAATAAATCCATATCAGCTATAACTGCAATGTTTTTATTCAAGGTCTAATGAAAATACTTTTACTTTTGGATTGACATTTCTGTTGCAAGCGTTTTGGTAAAAGTGGAAAATACTTTTGGTTGACGGTTATTTAGCAAGATTATATTTGAATGAATTAAAACTTAATAAACCAGCTCTCTGCTTAAATAAACTAGTACACACTTGTTGCTCTACTTTTCACTATAGAATACTCCAAACAAAAGACATCTTCAGTTACTGGTAAACTATCACTTCACACATTACTTTAATACTTATGTACGAAACAAGATCAGAGAATGGCGCAGGCTGTTGAACTGACTGAACGCTTCCAAAGCAAAGATGAACTTTCAGGAATAGAATTCATAAAACTTCATTACATATTTTTATCACCACTTTAAAAATATCTACAGTATAAACAAACTGCTCAGGATTCAGGTTCATGAAATTTGCCAAATGATAAATAATTGATGGATATATTAAAAATGTGATCAGGTAGATATGAAAATAACTGGTGTAGTTTGTGCAAAATGTTAAAATAATTAAACAGGGTAGTTTTAGCAGTTGTCAAATTGTCTTGAATAAGAAGAACAAGGACCTTTGAAGAACTCACCTGCTGTAATTCTTTTTTCAGCACAATTAGATTATTTTAGGGGAGTGGTGGCACAGAGGTTAGAGAAGGTGGACGTATGATCGGAAGATCGCGGGTTCAAGCCCCAGTACCGACAACATCAAAATGTGGGTGGAAAAGGTGGAACACCCACACCTCTCTCCACCCTCATTCGCCCCACCCTGGGCCCCTGAGCAAGGCCCTTAACCCCCACCATCTGCTCCCTAAACATGTCTCTCTTGAAAATGAGTTCTCGTGGCTCAATGAGTCTACCTGTATAAATAAAGGGTAAATGAAAAAATTTTGTCTTTTTTGTAAGCCTTTAATCAAGTACACTTATATGAAACACACTTACAACTTCACATGGGTGGAGCTCAGGTTAAAAAGTTGCCATGTAATTATTAGGCCTTTAAGAAATGTTAAAGATGAAAAACAAATGTAACAAAGAAGAGAATTGGAAGTTGAGCTAAAAGAACCTGATCTGGACAATAATCAGCAACGACGGTGAGACAAGGAGACATCTAAGATTTGAACTTCAGTGACAAAGAAGAAGATCCCTTAGGAGAGCAGAAATAATTATGTCAGAATAAAAATTGGTCGCTGTAACCTGATTAGCATGCTATTTTTATGGGTAAGCACTTCACCACTTGTGATAGTATTCAGCGACAACAAGGAAGAAAGAGTGGAACATGCAGGAAATGCTAATGAGAAAGAACATTAAGCTTAAACTGGAGGGATGGATCCATCCATCCATCCATCCATTATTTTTACCCGCTTCTTCCTTTCCGGGTCACGAGGGTCACTGGTGTCCATACCCAGCAGTCATTGTGACAGGTCTCCATTCCATCACATGGACACATAGAGACAAACGAGCCAACCATTCACTCTCTCACTCACACGTAGAGGTAATTTAGAATTACATGCATGTTTTTGGTTTGTGAGAGGAAACCCACGCGTGCACGGAGAGAGCATGAAAACTCCACCCAGAAAGGCCGCCGGCCAGGTTTTGTTAGGAGAATAAGGCAGTGATTCTCTTATTTGTGAGGTTTGAATTGTTTTTATTAGTGGTAATTAACTCTGAAATGGACTTTATCCTGTTGAGTTGTCGTTGCATGATTTCTCCCTGATTCTCCAAACCTTCCTCATGGCAGGTAAAACATCGATTACATTAACTATCTTGGTACAGATATTGTTACAAACTTGGTAAAGAAACTGAAAGTAAAACTGGGTTTCTTTTTTAGAAATAGATCCTGTCTAACTCTGAATGCTAGGAAACACCTTGTAACTGCTACTTTCCTTCCCTCCATTGACTACGGTGACATTATTTACATGAACTCTCCTACAAGCACCCTGCAGATGTTGGACACTGTCTATCACGGTGCGCTAAGACTCATAACTGGCTGTAACTACCATACACTGCACCCTGTATTCACTGGTTAACTGGACATCATTAACTTCACACAGACTTTCACATTGGTACATTTTCATCTTTAAATCACTTCTTCGTCTCTTGCCTTCATACATCTCCTCCTACATGTCTCTGCGTGAGTGCAGCTACAGTGTGCGCTCTCAAGACTTCATTACCTGCAGTGTCCCCATGCGGACCGAACTTGGCAAAAGGGCCTCCTCCTACTCCGCTCCTGTAACCTGTAACACCTTACAAAAAGATATGAAGCTGTCGACTTTGACAACTCTAAGAGTTTTCAAACAACTGTTAAGCTCATGGCAAAAACCAACGCAGACATGTTCCTGTTTTTAGTATTTTACATCTCTTTAAGATGTAGCTGTTTTGGTTTCTTTTTTATATCATTTCTTCTATTTACTTTTCATTTTATATGATTGTCTATTGTTGTCTGCACCTCATCTGTGTTCCTTAAAACAGGCCTCTGTTGTAAAGAATCCTCGAGGCTCAATGAGACTATAAATAAAGGTTGAATGAATTTGAGCTGTCCCTTTAAGGCCGTGGGCTGTAGTTCCAGCTACTACCGGGAGAGGGCGGTAATACAGCGTCAAAGGATGCAAACTGCGGTCAAGCTCCAACGCAGAAGAAGAAGGATCCCTTCAGTCAGAGTCGAGGGGAAGTGATGCCCTCGTTCATTCAACGCTGCTGTTACTGCGACACCCAAAGGTCTGTCAACACAGAAACATGGCCGCCTCTGCGACGAACACAAATAACAACAACGACACGGCGAAAGACTGTCTGAACTGTCACAAAGAGTCGCTGTCGCAGTGTCAGGAAATCATAAAACCGACCATCACGGAGCTGACCAAAGAAGTGAGGACGAACATCCTCTGCACGGTGGAAGGATGCGGCAAGATTCTCCCCAACACACCTGCGCTCAACATGCACCTGGTCAAGTCTCACAGAATAAAGGTGACTGCTCGTTACACAAACCCGCTTCGGTTTGTTAGTCGCGGACGGAACTGCCATGCTAGCTTGGCTAACGAGGTGTGGAAAACACGTAAAAACTGGAAAAACCCAAGTCATCCTAGCTTGACCTCATAGTTTTCATTTGCAGAAAGTTTTATTTGTCTTTTATACGTGAAAAGTTTAATAGTAACAGTATTATTCGGCTAACTACAGGCAAACTAGCTTCACGTGCTGCCATTTTTCCATCACGCCTGTCTGGAAGCGCTTAAAAATTATTATTAGTGAGATTTTAAAGTCTCATCACAAATGATATGAAAACACTGCAACTGTAACTTTTTTTAGTAAAATTCTGTCTTATTTGTTTCAGTCTTGAGAAATAATTCAATTTAAGTTTTGCTTATGCATAAAAATTAAAAAATATTTTATATATTAACTGTTCTGCTTTCTAGCCAGTGATTGTAGACCAAATCAATAAATAAAAGGTAGTTGTAAGCTCAATCATCCAGGTAGATAACAAAAAATATCAAGTTGTGAAGTGAGAAACGTTTCGTCCCCCATCCAGAGGACTTCCTCAGTCGACAGCCTGCCAACCAGATTTGTCCCATAGGTAGCCTTCACTGCTGTGTTTTAAGCCAATCTCCTGTTGGAATCTCACAAGTAGACTTTTAACATGTAGCACACCCATCCAAAACAATCTGTCATCATGTACATCAAATGGTTTAGGCCAGATGGCCGACTTGCGCTTCAATGCTGAAACCCATCAGTGAAGGCCACCAATGGGACAGATCTGGTTGGCAGGCCGTAGACTGAGGAAGTCCTCTGGATGGGGGACAAAATGTTACTAACTTAAAGAAACTGGTTCAGATGACACGATTTAACCTTTTTTGTTGTAGACCAAATACTTAAGAAACCCAACTTGTAAAACTACTAATGCAAATGGATTGTTTCTGCTAGGGATGCACGATATTCCATCCATCCATTTTCTTTACCCGCTTATTCCATTTTGGGTCACGGGGGTTCGCTGGTGCCCATGTCCAGCAATCACTGTGCGAGGGGCGGGGGACACCCTGGATAGGTCGCAAGTCCATCACAGGGCCACATAGAGACAAACGAGACAAACAACCATTCACTCTCCCACTCACACCTAGGGACAATTTAGAGTTACCAATCAGCCTAACATGCATGTTTTTGGTCTGTGGGAGGAAACAGGAGCACCCGGAGAAAACCCACGCATGCACGGAGAGAACATGCAAACTCCACCCAGAAAGGCCCCTGGACCGGGGTTTGAACCAGGGACCTGCTCGCTGAGAGGCAGCAGCTCTACCAGTTGCGCCACCGTGCTGCCCTGCACAATATTATCGACTGATATTAATGTTAAAGTTCAATATCGGACATCGGCCATTCCATTAAAATAACTCTTCGATATAAATGGCGCTTTTTTGCCTGCAGCGGCAACACAGCGTGATGACGTTGCATCGGCAACACAGCGTGATGACGTTGCATCGGCAACACAGCGTGATGACGTTGCAGCGGCAACACAGCGTGATGAC